TAAAATTTAAACCAATATAATTTTTATAAAAAAAATAAATATTATAATGAAAAAAAGTTTTTTCTTATTTTTTAACAACAAAAAATATAATAATACTCATAATAAATTAATTAACTATTTCAGAGTAAATACATTGAAGTTTGAGATTCTTTAAAATTCCTAAAAATGGAACGAGAGAATTTTTGAGGCAAGAAGTCAAACTTAAATTTAGCAGAAGGTGGAGATATGACGAAAGCGCCGTCTCTGCACATTCAGCTGCTCGAACTAGAGACCTCTGGGTTAGTCTTTCGCTTTCAGTTACCATCATCGCTTGCTTACAAACATCTTCACTTTTATTCTTATGGGCTCATGAAAGAGCGCATTTCAAAGACGATTCTTATGACCTTTGGAACTGCATCTCCAAACGTCTTGTCGCGTTTGCGAGAGTACATAATCGCAACGAAGAGTGACATAGCGTCGGACTTGGAAGTTGACGACTCGACGTTCGACGTGTTAGTTACGGAGTGCTTCTTGTCTGGCGGAAAGGCACTTAAATTTGGGGAGGACGTGGTGGACTTGATGTTCTCCATTGGACTCAAGAAATATGTTTCCGACGTGAAGAACAAAAAGGCGAGGAGTTACAAAAACCAATATCTTGAACAGATGGGAAACGACGCGGTTCCTGTCAGCTGTTTCTAATTAATTGCTTATTGTTTTTAGACAAATCATAATTTTAAATTATTTACCTTTCATTTGTTACTTTCATTCTTTAAAATTTATTTATTCTAATACTGATGCTTCATTTTTTCAATGAAATGAAAAAAAAATTCCCTAAAACACAAAAATCTTAGGGAATTCAATATGCACGGAATAATTATTTTTACTAAGATATTAAGGTTCCCCTATTTACTATAGAAAAAGAACTCAAAAAAGCAGAAAATGAGATTACCCGACAGTGACCTCGTGGTGGACTTTTTCACGAATTACATCTTTGCGTTTGTGAGTGTCAGCGCTGCTGGGTTCTGTTGTTTCTGTTGCATGTTATACATGTTTGGTGTCTTATGTGACCGTCAGCCGAAGTTTGCACGTGGAGCGGTGATGTTCATATGGGTGTTGACTTTCTTGCAATCGTTCATGCTGTTCCGGACGTACAAATGGTATGTCCCCGTGCTTGCGATACTTCACCACATGATGACGATTCCACTTGTCTTCCAAATTCCAACCATTGTGATATACAGTGCACTCTTCTATTTAGTCATTGCTTCGACTTGTGTCTCGCATATGGTCACTCTGGCCGTGTTCTTCTTTAACAAATACCAACTTCATGAATTGGTATTTGTATTCATCACATTCCACACCGTTGTGGTGTTCATCATCTCTTCGCTCAAGTTCAACGAAGAGAGAGTTGTCTCCACCGAACTTTCTCGTTTGTTCTGATTTACTTTTACAAGAGGTCGACTTAGTGGTACAACCTTTTTTAAACAACCGCGAAGTCTACTACTTATACGTCACTCGTTTAAATCGAAATAGACTCAAAAACACTCACTGAATAGAATCATATAACATTGTCGTTAACTTGGCAGCTAAGGTTTTGAATTGGATGAAGATCAAAGGTGGGTCGTTACATAAGAGACTTTGATAGTTTAGTGTTATAAGTTATTATTAAATAATTAATTAAACAATAATAGATCAGGCTAAGTACATATAAAACAACTATTTGTAGTGTTTGTAAATCCACTTGAAGCAGTGCTCTGTGTTAGAGAGGAAGGAGTCAAGTGCGAGTGGCCACTTCTTTGCGTCATAGCCCAAGAAGTCGATTCCGTTGATTGAGTCTGAAGTAATGTTATATATTAAAAAGAAGACGTTTGAGCTCTCTTCATACAACACCGTTTGGATCTCGTTCAACATCGCCAAAAAGTGTTGTAAGACACATTTCAAGTACTTTTTGTTAGTAGTTTGGAACTCTTTAGGATCGATTAAAAACACTTCTTTGTTTGGTGTATTCTGTTTGAAGGTGACCGTGGTGTATGTGTATTTCAGCATACTAGCCAACACTTTTAATTGTGTTAGAATGATTCCAAGGATCGCATTTATAGGCTTCTATGTATTAACAATTAAAGTAATTATTATGTTACAAGTACTTTAAATGATTAATAAACAAACTTGTCGCATTCGAGTGATCAAACATATCGTTTGTGTCTGTGGGACGATGTTCTCCTTTTTGAACACTTGTGCCCACGCAATCGACTTTTGAAGCGGCACAGATGAAAAGTCATTCAACCCCGTCTGTTGCAAAAATAGACTCAACTTCGCGTTGTGTGTAAAGTCGAGTATTTTTGCTTCATTAAGAAAAGAGTCTTTAATATGCGAGTTGACTCGATTACTCCATTGTGTGAGAGTCCTTTTTTCTTCGACTAACTGTGCGTTCACTCGTTCCAATGTGCTAATTTCCGCCTCTAACATTTTAACGGCAGTTTCGGCAGTTTCGGTCTCGTCTTGAACTCCAATCATGTTTTTAAAGAGCTCACAAGAGGTCATCTGGTACATTTCGATATTGTGTGACGCACTTTCTAAGTCGATTTTATAGCTCTCCATGACGTCTTCGTAACACTGTGCGCATGGGATTTTAAACTCTCCATATTTTTCGTTCATTAATGTGAACCACTGAAAGAATTCAGTGGTCGGTGGGCTGATTAATAAGTGTTCGCACTGCTTTCTCTTCGCCTTAAATATCGCTTTTGTGAATGACCTTCCCAAGCTCCCTCCTATATTGTTATTACTATTACTAATAGTAACAGTAATAATACTGTTAGAATTACAATACTCTTATATGTATTATTGTGTCGGTCAATTCGTATGAAAAGTAATACTTGAAATAGAACGCAAACTCCTTTCAAAGTACTTTGGTGACGTGTATAATATTTCCGGTGGGGAGAGGGAGAGGCCAGACGTCTCCGGTGTACTGTCATTTGTATCGCTATTATCACTGTTGATTATATTATTCATTTTTAAATTGTTTTGTTTCACTGGTAAAGGAAGAGGTGTTGACAATAAAAGTTGTCCACCAAGTGCAATTGTTCTTGGGGTGATCAAAGGAGAGAGTTTCTCCGGTGTTTTTTCTGGTGTTTTCAGTGGGGTTCTAGACTCCGAGTTTGTATTGGAGTTCAGCAGACTAAGTTTCTCTTCGAGGACAATCGGGCAGTTACACAAGCAACATGACAATTCCATTTTTTATAATTGAAATTTGTAGTGTTGTTTTGATGTTTTTGACAGTAAATTTTGGTTCAGACATTCACCACAAAAGATCTTTTTTTTGTCGTATTAAATTGGTATTTTCTACTTGAAAATTCTATAGTTCTTTTTATACTATTTTATAGTTACTTGTAAAAGCATTTCATCTAATACAATAACTAATAATAAAATTATTATTAATTAAATTATTAATAAACACATCTTTCATTTTTAATTAAAAATATGTTTTTCACCACAAACAACAATGGATAAATGATTTAAACGATTTTACTCACATCCCAGTCGCAATTCATACACCCCATATTACCCACGGCCATATAAGATTGCATGAGTTGTTTCGATCGATATTGGTTTTGTGTAGTGACTTGTTTTTTCATGTCTTCTGTTGGTGGGTAAAACGGCACATCACAGAGTGAGCTGAATTGAATGATCTCTTTACACTCGTCTCCTATTTTATGTGGGATTCTGTCGTATCCTATTTTCAAATGGACTTTCCCTGTGATGCATTCATTCCCAAATGGAGAGTCGTGGAGGGTGAACCACTGATCTATGAACGATGGAAATGGCAATTTCGTCAAGTCGATATCGGCAGCTCCAATAAAGTCGTCTGACACCAAACTTCTTTTCTCAAACAAATAGACAATAACGTTCTTTCTTCTTGTTGTGGGATTGACCACAAAACTCGCGTTATTAAATATGGGATCTGGCGTGTTTTTGACTTCCTTCGACTTCATCATTTTCCCATATGAATTAAAGACGGCGGCATACACTGTCGGGGGGTTCGTCGAGCCTCTCACTCTTAGTCCAAGTGCCTCAACAACAAAAATAGACACAAAAGCATTCGGGGAGTCATTCAGTAATGATTGGGGCAGGTTAACAAATGGGTCGACCCAGAACGTCTTCTTATTGATGTGGTCAAACACACACTCTTTATTCCTCCACATCCCATAAGTAATCCCAGGCGGTAACAAAGAACTTTTCCATAACGGGTAGACACACATTTGGACCGGTTCGCCTTGTTTTTCAGATAACACGTTCCGCGTCTTGTGGTCCAAAAAGAGGACTTGTCCTTTTGTTGTTTGTATTTTCTCCACGCCGTCTTGTACAGTGATTGGATACTGTGGTGGTTGTTCCAGTCTTCCTTCGCAGAAGCTTGGATGTACGTACGGGTTAATGACCACCCCCAAAAATTTCGAGTACAATTGGACTTTATCATCACTCGGGCGTCGCGCTATAATTTTGACTGGGAAGCAGATCTCCTCTGGATTTGAGAATATATTGGAAGACTCGATTTTGATTGAGATGAAGTGTCTGAATGCTTGTGATGATGTGACGTAAGTAGGGTTTGTTGTGTATGAGATTGGGAAGATGATGGAAAGGTTCGAAATAGGCACATTCCGTTCAACTTTCATCTCCATTGAGTTGTATGTCACCTTCTGACAGACGCTGCCGCTTAAAAAGGCGCCGATGAGTGAAAGTGTGATCTGTGTGTTCTCAAGAGAGTTAATAGAGAGTGCTACGTCCATGTTCTCTCCTTGAATATAGGACGATCTGTTCTGAGCTACAGTTACTATAAGTTTACCAATTGGCTTGGTTGTTGATGTTGGTATTTCAAGTGGGATGTCGCAGTTGTACAATATTGGGAAATCGACTGACCCACTTTCATATCTTTTATTGTCGTCGTAGATGAAAAGAGCTTTGAGAGTGTAAGTGGTTTGGTATGGCTTGCCGGGTATAATTAGTGTTGGGGGGAATGTTGGGGGAAGAGTGAAATTGAATGGGAACTGGTAAGTCCCCGGGCAGAACTCAATTTCTCCCAATGGATAATTACCGTCACACTCAAACATGGCAACAGTGAACTCATCCCGATAGACCGAAGGCACTGAAAGACCAGTAGACTCGACGTCCGTCTCTTTCTTTGGAAGAGAATTCTCGACGCAGCCATACTTCATATTAATTTGTTGAAGGCCAATGTATACTTTTTGTAAGAAGATCGGCTGTGTGAATGTTGCCTTTACACAACCAATCATAGGCTCACCAGCTGTGCCATATTGAGCAAGTAAAATGGAGACTTTTTGCATTTGATTTTTGAGGTACGTTTTCGAGTTCTTTTTATCCTTATAAGGAATAAAAAACAGATTCTTCACTATTGAATGTTTCTCACAAATGAAGAATACACTGGGTTCCTATTTTTTTACATTTCACATGACTTATATTGTAATATTTATTCATAATCGTTGTAAAGAACTAATATTTGGGTGAAACCAACACTCAAAACAAAATTTTATTAATTCCATTTTAATTCCTTTTCGATTCATTATTTTAACTATTAAATTATACTTATAGAATTTTTGTTTGAAGAATAGCAATCATAGGAAAAATAGCTGCTGGATTTTTTTATATGAATTTATTTATTCTAAGTTGTTATAAACGTCTTTTCAGCTTATAGAATATAATATTTATATTCCTTTTTTATAATTTGAAGGAATTTATTCTCAATTAATTTAATCAAGCTGAAAGAACAAAAATTCATTTTATTATGTTGAGTGTAACATAGAAAGTGCATTAAGCTCATAACAAATCGAATAAGTTTTCGGCTCTATTTGTCTATACCATTACATCACAAACATCCAATTTTTTTTTGCCATTCTTCACATCCTTTTGAAAATTTCAAGAAATGTCGAATTAATTCCAAACACAGTCTTTTTACAATCAAGTGTCTATTTTTTCTTCTGGTAATGTATTTATAATGCAAACAAATATAAGACTTTATACCCACAAAAATCGTAAAAAACAAGTGAAAACAAAGGATATTCCAAATTCCTCTAAAAATGCCTGATTTTGGTAACCACAATTGTTAAAAATCAAATCACACCCAAAAGCACTTCTTTGAAGTATAATATTTTTTCCGTCCAGAAAAACATTTATTAATAGAAATGACATTAAACTTTATTTAAAATAAGAAATGAAATTAAAACAATAGTTTCATTAACCAACAGACAAAAAGAAATAAGAATTTGGGAAGAAAAGCATTTGTGGGGCTCCAAAGCAGCGAATTTCTAGCAAAAGAGACACATGAAATCGAATGAATTTCATCGATTGTGGTACTTTAGTTTTGAAGTGTAAAATTCGAAACTGTAAAAATCAAAAGGATGAAAGAAAAGTGGTACTCCGCCAAGTTCGTCGCATTTTCACTTGTTGCGGTATTCTTCGCGACATTCCTCTGGTCTGTTTCGATATCGCGATTCATTCTTATCATTCCATTTAACACATACGAAGACACTACAAATGTCGTGCGAGACTTTTGGATCACATTTGCCGTCTCACTTGGTGTGTCCCATTTAGTCATACTTTTCTTCATTCTTTTGTATTGTATGGATTTCCTCTTTGAAAGTACTTTATTCAGAAAATTTAATTTGTACATTGCGAGTGGACTGACCATCATCTTCAACGCAATCCCATTTATGATGATCTTTGATGTTGTGAATATCGTTCTCTGCGCGTCGAAACTCTTTGGGTCCTCTGCATTTAGAACAGACTTGTTCAACAAAGGAAAGTTCATTTCGTTTGTCACATTCAATTACGTCGGGACGTATTACAGACTCATTCCAATTTTCTGCATTTTATTTGGGATGGCGGCGGTATCTATTTACGGACTCATTGAAGGGCATTTACTCCACGTGAAGAACACTACAATTAAATCAGACAAATTCGACAGACCTTTCAAGTTTGTCCACATCAGTGACATCCACATTGGTTCAAGATTTTTGAGTCACGCCGAAAAGATCGTGAAGCTCATTTTAAAGGAAAAGCCCCAATTTGTTGTCATCACCGGTGACCTGACAGACTCTCCAAATGTACAAGAATACGAATTGCTCCCATTCAAGAAACTGAGCGAAAAATGCCCGATTTATATGTGTATGGGCAATCACGACTACGTCACTGGCAAAACAAAAGTCGAGGAAATCACACGGGCGTGCAAAATACATTTACTGATCAACGAAGTGTGTATGGTCGATAAATATAACACGATGATAGCGGGCACGAATGACACAAACACCCTTTCACATTATTTCGACAGTTTAAACGTTGTCAAACAACTTGTCGAACCACGGGCGTATAACATAATGTTGCAACATCGGCCACAAGGAGTCGAAGAAACATGTGAGACTGGATTGTTTGATTTGATGTTGTCTGGACATACACACGTCGGACAGTTTGCCCCATTTGGGTGGTTTGTGTATCTCTTCTTTAGACGGCCAAACGGGTTTTACAACATCAAAAAGGGCGACCATAAGATGAAGTTGTATACATCGCCAGGAACAGGGGCTTGGGCACCACATATGAGAACAATGGGTACTAACGACATTATGGTGTTCCACATGCAGCCTACCATAACACCTTCTGTCATTTCTGATGTTGAAATCGCAATGTAAAAATTACAAATAGGAGTAGGAGTTCTGTGTTTTAACAAAATTTATATTTTAATTATATTGTGGTCTATGTATAATTAATTCAACATTAATAGATAAAGAGTGTTAATATATATGATAAATGTCTTGATATTTTATACAGTATAGTCACTCCACCTTATGAAAAACTTTGCCTTGCGCAAGACTTTTATTAATAAATATTATTATTAAAACTATTTTAATTAATTACCGTCGTTTGTTGAAGAGTTTTAACGTAATAGACCACTTTTATGTGGATGGCTTTGGAAATCTTACACATTTTTGTTGTAATCGATATAAAATTTGCCTAAGAGTTTACAAAAAAATATGTTTTTTGGACCCAATTCATAAAAAGCGATTTTTTTGAAAGTTAAAACAGAAAAAACAAATTTTATTTTTAGTAGTAGTCATATTTTCCTTTTACCGTTTAAATGAATTTGCCGCAAAAAAAAACATTTTTGTTAAAAAATTTAACACTAAAGTTTTTAATTAATTAAATTTAGTTTATTTAATTAATTGTATAAACTATATTCAATCAAAAAAATTATTGAAATTGAATAATTTATAAAATAACATATAATTTGTCATAAAATACTACGGCATAGTTTGCTGTGGATAGGCTGAAAAGGTGTGGATGGTAAATATAGATAGACAATTGTTATTATAAAGTGTTGTTTAAAATAAGTAACATGCCTTGTATTTTTGACAGGTTTTTGTTGGTATTTGCCGTATAGCAATATGTTATAAATTTGAGCAATTTACTATTGTTATATAATTTAATTTTAAACTTTTGGTTTTAATGCGGTATTTTGCCATTTAACTTTTTAATGTTTTTATATTAAAAATATAATACCATTTAACCATGTTTATAGAATTTGTTTGAAACTATTATTAGTTTTAATCCAAAATCAATACTAATATTTTAATAAAGGGGGGATAAAAAACCGCTTCCACTTAAAAACCGATTCTTTCAAAAAAATAGTTTTTTGTTAATTTAATTATAATTAAATTTATAGTTTATTTTTTTCCCGTTTCAACAAAAAAAAGAAAAAATTCAGGGTTTTTTATTCAAACAATATTTTACAAAATGAAAAGAGCCTTTTTATTTTTTTGTGAAAATTTTTTATTACATAAAAAAAGCAAAGTTTGCCGAAGCCATAAACCGAGACTATTAAAAGTAGCAAGCAAAAGTTTATTTTGAGGACAATTAATTACATAAAAACGAAAATAAAATGTTACACACCATAAATTATTTTGAATTGTTTTTCAAACTCTTTTTCGATTTTTTGTTGGAATACAAATACTAATAAATCTTGAACCTATGAGTGCACCTTTTTTTCACACCCCCTTTATTTTCCTCTAATTTTTTACATTGTTTTTTAAGAGTAGAATCGATGATACTCGTGGTGGTTATAAACATACTCAAGAATAAAATTTAATGTTCTAACAGAGTTTGATCATATTTTATAATGATATACCTACATTTTTGTATCAGAAGATAAATGCACCTTTTTTCCATCACCCCTACAAATTTATTCCTCAATTAATCAAAAGTGCGTTTTATGGCCAAATTTAAATATTTTATATTGGCAAGTTCCAAGTGAAGACGTTTGAATTACCCATTCCCAACTCTTATTCAAGTTCATGTTGAGTATTGTATGTACGATGCATCTTCAAGTGTGTGAACAATTTTTTAATAAATTATGACTAAAAACGAAGCAAAACAATAAATATAGTAATTTTCAATAAAATTTAAAGGACAAAATGATGGAAGCGGTTTTTAAGACGCTTGGATGCCGATATATTTTTTTCTGTGTTTTTGATAAAATTTAAAAACTTTTCAATTATTTTACAAAACCAGTCTTTTTGGTATTATTTTAGTGTTGTTCATTTTTAATTTGGTATGGTATCGGTTTTATACGCCGAGAAGAGAGGATAAAAATAAGAAGAAAAAGATAGTGCATGGTATCCCCATAGTCGGCAACATTTCTTATTGGTAAAAAAATCAAAAAATCCGTGTTTCATACTACAATTTTTAACAAATTGGCAACAAAATATAATATTTTGCTGATAAAATTAACTCGAATAAAAGTTTCAAAAATGTGGCATAATTTACTTTTAAATACCAAAATACATGTAATTTATTGGCAATTTTACACCAAAAAGAAGGGAAGCGGTTTTAAAACCTCGAGCAAAATCACAAAAAAAATAATATGGCATTGTACAATAATTGGTTATATTTTTAAGTTATATAAAGCCAAGATGGTGAAGGTATCGGTTTTATTGTCCATTCAATTATGTTGCCCAAAAATGTATTTATCAATTTGGGTATAAAAAATGTTGAAGAAAGAGGTTGTATTCTTTCAACATGTAACCAAAAGATGATAGTTTTTAAATGAATAATGATACAATGACACAGTTAAATGTTGTCCGAAAGACAAAAATAGTTTTTATTTATTATTTACACAGTGTTTCATCAAGCATTCATAGTGTTAATTTGGTGTTTATTATAGGATAAAAAATGATTTTTTATAGTTAATTAAATTAAAATATTATTAAATTAATTCACAAAGGGATGAAATTAAAGATAGGAAGAGAAAAGTAAAAATTGGTTTCTGAATTTCATCATTGCCTTAATAGTGAACATACAACACAATTACGAATATTAACAATTATTCGATTATAGTTGTTAATATATTCAATTCATCGAAGAATAAATTCAAATGTATACTTTTATCTACTTGACAGTTAAATGGGTTGTGTTGTGGCTTTCATTTATATCGATCCAAATCAAAACATGCGTTTTATGTTTTATAGATTCTTTAATTAAAGTTATGAAATGATTTAACCAAAGAACAATAAATATAAAACTATATTTACTAAAAAATATCATAATGATTATTTTTTATTTATAGAATGTAAATAGTTTTTTTTAAATAAAAACTATCAATTGTATTTTAGTAATTAAATTAATCTATTCAATAAAAAACAAATCCAACACACACAAAACATTCGTTCATTAAATATAACAATACTTAAATTGTTTGCAGCAAGCCCAATCAATAACAACACATCAATCCAATAAGTTTATTGAGCTTGATTACACATTTGATAACCCAGGTATACTACATACAATTATGAGTAAGTTCAGATAAAAAAGTGATGCACGCCAACAATAAAACTTACATTATAATTTAAATAATTACATTTTAAATATTTATCAGAATCCTTAAAACATCATGTGATATATAATTCGACCAAACACAATCATTATAAACTTATGGCATCTTCTGGTATTAAACAACCTTATAAACTGAGCTCGGAAAAGGTTAAAAGCCTCCACCTTGCAGGTCCTAAAATTCCAAATAGTTTAGGCCTCATTGAATATCTTAAAGCATGTCCAGACACTTTTGAAAAGTTTAAAAATTTAGAAAAAAAAATGTAATTTGGCTCAATTTTCATTCTTTTAGAGATCAGATCCGTTTTTGTTTTTTTTGAACTTCCGTCCGATATTTCAGAATCGCTCAAAACAAACAATCTTTCATTTTTGGTCTCTTTGGAGCTTTTTTTCGGGACAATGAAATCTCATGGAGTTAAAACACAAATTTCTAAAATTAAAAAAGAAATGAAAACAGGACAAAAACCCGAAAAAGGACGACCAAGAAAGCTAACAGATTTAGAAATTGAAAAACTTCAAGCTGAAATTAAAAATGTGGGGAGTTCTTCTTCTTTGGGTGCTGGCTTATTTATTAAGCAAAATTTCGGGAAAAATTTGGAGAGGAGGCAATTGCATCAAATTGTCGGACACATTGAAGGTTTAGAGAAAAAAGTGGCACCTGTAATGGAAAAAAATAGGGCAGAAGTTAAACCAGAGTCAATTATGTCCTATTATTCCGACTTAAAGAAAAAACTTGATGGGGTACGTTTCGAATTGGTTTTTAATTTAGACGAAGTTGGTTTCGCTCAATGGGTAGACGCCACTCAACAAATTGTTTATGCATCTGTTGAGTCGGGAGAGCAGGTTTATACCGAAGTGGATCGGGATAAAGCCAGAATTAGTTTACTTTGTTGCATTTGTGTTGATGGAACAAAAATTACTCCACTTGTGGTAACAAAACGTCTATCCTTGTTAGACACCACACTTGCTATTTTAAGTGGAAGAGCTATTATTAGAACACAACAATCTGGTATGCTGACAACAGACCTTTACACGCTTTGGCTAAAAAGAGTCTTTTTCCCAACAATTAAGGCAAAAAGAGAGCAAATGGGAGTTAGATCGGATACGAAAGCATACTTAATTCTCGATGGATTCTCTGGTCACTTTTCTAAACAAATAGAAGATCTATTTTTAAAAAATCACGTCGAAATGATCAAAGAAGTTGCCCATAGTTCTCATCTGTGTCAGCCTTAAGACTTGGGAATTTTTGGGATAGAAAAGGTGTTTTTACAAAACAAAAATGGGTTGATGCAGCACAAATTTGAGTTAAAAGAAAAAGAGGGGAAATTTGAGCACAAAGTCGGAAATATTCTAAAAATGGATTCTCCCGATTTTAAAAATCTTTTGAAAGGTTTTGTGAACCTTTCAGAAGAAGAAAGAATTAAAGAAATTCTCTATTCTTGGGAAGTGGTTGCAAATGGGGACAATGTTACAAGCGCATTTTCTCAGGCTGGAATCACAGTGGCTGTGAAAAAACCAACACAAGAAAAAATAGAAAAAGCTTTAAAAATCAATTCTAATTATAACCCATCCGATTTGATTCATGGTGTTATAAGAATTAAGATAAATTCAGCAAGAGAAGCTTCTAAATTCTTGGGAAAGACGGGGACCCCCAAAGAAACAAAAGAACCCAAACGTATTTCTCTTGAAAACACTCAAATAAAAAAGCGCCGTCTTGAAAAAGAGCGACTCGATAGAGTCTCAAAAGAAACCAAAAAGAAAGTCAACAAAGGGAAGAAACCTCGAAAAGTCGACAATGAGAATGATT